CTCTTATTCATAAGGGAGAGTACAATTAGAGCCAGTTTTCCTTTCAACCACCTTGTTGAAAAAAATTGCTTACCATCAATGTTTCTCCTCCACCACCACCTCTACCCTTTGATAAACACTTTCAGATAGCCTGTGTCATCTCTTGCCAGTCTGCATTACAAGGCCTGTATTTTATTTTCTGACCTGTGTTAGAAACTCTGCTGCCTTGGGGATGCTGTGCTTCCTTTTGTGTCTTTTCTCTCTCATTCAGGAAGAGGATTTTCTTTTGGCTTTTTCTGAATCCCAGATAGACCCAAAGCCCTTCTTCAAGCCTGGGGAGGATACAGTAGATAATCTTTGACACCTGCCATTCTGAAGTAGAAACAGTTGTGGTTGCAGAGCTCTGCTTGTATAATGACAGTGAAGTAGAGGACCTTTCCTTCAGTTTCTCCTGCTGTCGAGCAGGAAAATCTTGTACTCCTTCAAGAATTCTGTGGGTATTTTCCACTTGTTTGACATTTTGAATGACTTTTCTCATAGAGGATAATTTGCCACAATGACATATTCCACCAGCCAGCACAAGAAAGGCATTGTAAGCCATCCGTAGAGGATTATTCTATCACTGCAACAACTATGGGCAGTGGCTCTTCCAAACTATTGGTGCAAATGATGTCCCTGAACACAAATGGGAGTCTTGAAGTAGTCTTCATTGGCCACCTCTCTGTTCAGAGCCAGACTGGTCTTTCAAATTACATTTATGTCAAATAACTTCAAATGCTTTAGTATGGACTTTACAGGTGAGGGTTCTAGGATTTTATTTGCTTTCTTGTTACAGCATAATTCTCCAAGTCTGTCACTTTTCAGGGATGCTTCATGATAGTTTGCCCAAGTTGACATTAGATGCTATGTTGGAGAATATTTTTAGAACCAATAACTGCATACCTCAGCATCAATTCATCTAAGAGGAAATAAGGTCTATGGCCTTTCCATATCTGTTCAGTTCTTTATATGATGGTAATAACAGCCTCCCATTTCAGATCTTGGCTTCCAGAAAGACCTACAATAAAGCTGTTCTTTAATTTCAAGCAATGTCCAGGTTCCTTTTAATCTTCTCAATCTCCGTGAGAATTAACAACTAAATTTTATATCACTGCAAGACTTTGAATCTGTTTTTACTTCTGTAGTGATGATAGCTTTCCTACTTGTGAACTGATACCAGTCTGTTAAGTTTTATTCTTTGGTTCACTTTCTAGCCAGTCTCTGCAAGTAAAATGATGTGTGACACCTTTAGTACCCATAACCTCATTTGTGTATGTGGTGCTACATATGACGCTTTTGCGCCTTGCCTCTGAATAAAGTTGCATTCAGTCTTCATTCTTGCAGATCTGATTAAATTGCAGCAAGTTAAATAATGGATAAATTGTCAGTGCTTCTATATTGTCTTTAGCTAATTTTTAAAGAAGAAAGTTAGTACTACAATAGGTAGTTCTTCCATGTATCACTCCTCAGTGGTAGTGTAGAACTGAAAAGCAGTCCATATGTGAAGAGATTTCATTTCCAAGGGCCACAGGTCCTCCAGGGCGGGATCTTTGTAAAAACTCTTAGCCAGGATGTCAGTGTTGCATAGCCATTATGTTCTGCTTTTCATTTGTAGAATGAAAACTTTTGGAATGTTTTCATTAAAACTTATGAAGAGTATTTTTTGCCTGTGAGGGTAAATATGGGATCTTAAAATAACTGGTACTACTGATGAGAATGACTTTTCAAAGTGTTATAAAGTGACTGGTTTGTGTATCACAAGAGCCAACAAGTGAAACATGATTTTTGGGACATGCTGTACTTATTATTGAAAATAATTATTATAATTAACTGTTGATGGGATTCCCGTATTTGGAACTTTGAATGCATGGGATACATCAAAATACAATTCATAAGGCTAGAGTGGGGGATATATTTTGGCACATATATTGAAGTATCAGTTTGGGCAGCTGAAATACATTTTCGTTAGATGTCTGTCTTGTTTTCAGCTTTGCTGCCTGAATATAAGGTATGTTACTTATTTCCCTCCCCCTTCACCCAGATATTGATATATGGACTAGTTGACCTTTTAAAGTTTTCTGGATACTGGAAAAGAATGGCATGCTAAGTTAGGAGGTGCATGGGATTTGTATTTACAGGATTAAAATCTTGTATTTTTAAGTATGTATAGGATAACAGTCTCACTGAAAGGTTAGAATTATTTTGAAAATAAGAGTGGGAGGTTTTTTGGTCATCTCTCCAAGGCAGGTAACTCTTCTGAGTTTCTTCCTGAAATAACTTCCTTAGAGCATCAGTAAATCACACTTAGTAAATAAAAAGCATTAATATTTAATATTTGGGAGGCTTCACTATATTAAAAAGTTCAGTTGGAAGACATGGAGAATTTTCAGTATTGAAAATGACATTTTCATGGCATTCAGTGACTTAGAGAATAAGTTCTTCCCATGTACACATGCACTGAAATAACTAATGACCTGGAAAATGAAAATGCCAACAGAAATACACACTGATTCCAGGTGGACTGTAAAAAAGGTTGATGGTAGTTGGAGGAGACTTACTTTTAAAAATCTCATTTGCATCACATGAAACTGTGGAAATACTACATTAACTATATAATTTGGAGGGAGAGAGGACAACACAAATTATAGTGTTTATTCTTGGATTACATTAAGATTTTATGAAGAGAACGGCATACTCTAAACCAAAGTAGAACTATGTAGTTTGTATTTGAAATACAATGTCTGTGCAGTTGGAAGTTACTTTGGTGATAGCCTTCCATGGAAATTTAATTTAAGAGTTTTCTCTTGTTACACTGCATCCATGAGTATGATGTGATGTTGTGAGGAACATTATCAAAAGCCTTACTAAAATCCAGAAAAACTACATCCGTCACCTTCCCTTTGTCCGCTGCTCGGGTGACCTTATAGAAGACGACGAAATTAGTTAAGGAGGACTTTCCCTTGGTGAACCCATGCTGACTGTGCCTGATGATTGCATTACCTAGTATAACCACGTAAGTTTTACCAATTATAACAGAGTATACACTCAACATATGCACATCTTCATACTTCATTCGGCATCATTAACTAATTGTGTTGAGCTGTAAATGTTATTCAAGCAGTATGGTCTCTTTATCTGCGAAGTACTTTAAAAAAAGTTTAGAACATACAGCAAATTGAACCCAGTCCTTCCTTCCATGCGCTGCATTACTTGGCAATGTAGATGTTGGCACTGTGCTCAAGTGGCAATGGAGTAGCCCTTAGAAGTGACAGTATAATGGGCTGATGACCAAGAGCTTTGGCAGACAAGGCAAATGTCTCCTCCCAGTTTTTTGTTTAATACAGTCCTGTGTAAGACCAAATATTTGTCCCTCACATACATAGAAATGAGAGGAGCTGTGTAACCCCCACTGTATGCACCTTATGCCAGTGATAGCTGTATCATGCCTGTGTGCAAAGTGGCCTGCTATTTTTAAGCATATGTTCTCTTTCATATTATCCCTGTTTGTGTCACAGGCAGTTGGCTTTCATTCAGGAAAATTTTTAAGTATGTACTGGATGGCATTAGGTGTATACTTAAAATTCTTCACTGATTTGGAGTTAGCTATTAAGAGAAAGTGGTTAAGAGTGGAATCCTGGTCAAATGTATGATTTGTTTCGGTTCTTTTTCTGAAGCAGTTTTCTTAATCTGGTAAAAGAACAGTAGGTCACTATGCATCTTTTAATTCTACATTTTTCTGATTTCTTTTCTATGCCTTTCTTCAAGTGAAGTAATACAGGCTTGTACAGTTTAGACCAAAGTTCACTCTTGGCACATGCAGGTATAGTGAGAGGATGTTAATGTGATTTTCCCCTTTCAAGAAAATCCAAGTCATCTTTAGAAATCAAAGTTGAAATGAAATTGAAATAAAACTATTATGTATACTTTCTAAAACAGTTTAAGGTAACTTTTTGACTTTATAACAAATCAATTACTTAATACAGTATGAACAAAAGCGTGTTTCCCAGGGATATTCACAGGAATATCAATGCTGCTATTTCTGGTGGTTTGTGTTTACCATTCATAGCATAGCAGGTGACACTGCATTTCCACTTTGACAGGAACAAAACTATAGAGGGAGTATTGTGAAGTGCAGTGTTTCCCTCTGAGCAAGCTTTTCATTTACTTTTCTATGTGAAAAACAACGTAGGTGATCATAAGTTTGCAAGAGGAGATGTAGAATTTAAGTACTAGGAGGTTTTGGAGTTTTGTGTTCTATTTGAATGTAAGGTCTTTGTATCTTTTTAAACTAAAAAACTATTCTCTTGAATAGGTACATTTCTTACTCATTATGCTGACTTTCATTTCTCATTAGTAACTGATCAGTTTAATTTTTTATTTTTTTTTGTAATACTGGTTTTGACATTAAACCAGAGGGTTATGCTCTTTGCTGGCTTCACAACAGGAGACAGACGTGTGCCTCTGCTTATTATGAAAAGGATGATTGTATTTGAGATTTAAATAGTCACAGATAAATAAAAGCATTATGATAACTACTATTGAAATCATACTTTTTCATGCAGCTAACAAATTTTTGTTCGGCCATGTTTGTTCCATGAAATAGACATCAGAATGTTCTTGCACAGCTTTCTACCTAAATAATTCTTACGTGCTTTAATGTATGCATAGTACACTCACTAAATTTCACTGGTATGTGTATATGTATTTTCAGATATAAAGAATGATACTATACTATAAATCTAAATCTCCAGATAATACATGTAGTCTTCAAGTAGCTTTTGTGCAACATCTGCATGAAGAGACTCAAACTTGTCTGGAAGTTTGTGGAATAATCTTTAACATGTATTTCTTGATCAGTTTACATCACTATCAGCAGTATTGCCAAATTACCACCATTTTTCTTTTGTATTTAAATTTTCACTAAGGTCTAAACCTGCGTACTATGGCTAAGTATTTCTGTAATAATCTGTATCTAAGTTAAGAATATTGTGAAAGTTTCCTTCTTTTCTTTTCCCCCCCTAAGGATATGGCCCTTGTTGCTCCTGAAGCGCCTTCAGAACAAGCTAGAAGGGTTTTTCAGACATATGACCCCGAGGGTAAGGGCTGTACTTCTTGCTAAAAAACAGATTTTATACTTGAAATGTACTTATTCAGTAGAGACAAATTCCGAATAATAATGAATAGTGCATTGTGTAAAGTGTCCCTTCAGAAGTAGGACCTTTTTTCCTAAATTTGTTCCAAATACTGCACTTTCAAATCCATTGTCCTTTCCATGCCAGGGTAATATGCTGTTTACACCTGAGCTAGTTAAGAGTGGAACTAAATACATAGTACTTAAGATGAGAAATTTTCAATGCAGTAGTCAATCTACAAGTGACGTGAAGAAATCTGAGAATCCTGTAGTTAGGGAAGTTGAGTACAATGTTGTGCAGAAGGGCATAGAGTTCTTGAAGCATAAGCTTTTTAACCTTGTAATCTTGTTTGTAATTAACATAAAGCTTAAATATAATTTGATTTCTCTTGTAACACATTTTCATTTCATAAAATAACTGATCAGCTATGATTGCATTCTTTATGCAGTTTTGTTCTTGAATGTATGTGGCATACACTGAAAACTTTCTTACGTTTTGGAAAACAGAAGATGTCTAACATTCAGCTATTATTTTAACTAATCAAAAGGGGAAAAATGTGGAGTTATTATTCCATGGTATCAAATGGAGATTGCTGTAGAGAGATTGAATTCTTAGCAAGTATTAAGCTTCTAAGTGTATGAATGATAAACCCTCAGTTTCTGTATTGTACTCCACATCTTTTTTCAAGTCGGAAATGTTTCAAAACTATGTTCCTTCTAGAACCCCATTTCTCTGCAAATTTTAGATATAAAAATACATAGTATTTGTATTTTTTAATAAAATTAGACTCCTGGAAAGCATTTTGTTTCTTTTCCTAATGAGAAGCTTTGCTACTTCTTCAGAGAATGGTTTTATACCTGACACTTTGCTAGAAGATGTAATGAAGGCTCTGGACCTTGTTTCAGATCCTGAATAGTAAGTATAATAAAATTTAAATGCTACAAAAGTATCAATTAACTACATATTAATTGTAATTTAAGGCTGTTTTTCTAGATTTTTTTTCTAGCTTGTGTTCTGGGTACAGAATGTTTTGAATTAATTTTGAGTATTTTGAAGTGTTTAAGTCAGCTTTAAATGAAATGGGAGGAATTCAAGTTAAAATGTCTCTAACTTTGGTAGGGATAACTAGAAGCAAAAAAAACCCCTCAGACCTACTGCATTACTAAATATTGAGGAGATAGTTTTGAATATATTTCTGTGTGGTAATGAAGGCAAAACTGTATGATGAAAGAGCCAAACAGCCAAGGTACTCGGAGGCAGATTAGCACATTGGGTTACCACTGGACCTATCTACAGAGTTTGAAGCTGAAACTGCTTCAGTTACACTTTTTTTTCACCAACACTTAGTACCTTGTAGTGTTTATAATTGTCTTTTGTTTCCAGAAATGACACCTTGATTCCTAGGATTAGAGATAAAACTATCAAATGAAAAAGGTAATTTATTTTAGATCTTCTGTGGACAGTGAGGACTAATATTCAGTGGCAGCAGTTAACCTTCAGTGTCAAAGCTTACCATGTTTTGCCACTGCTTAACACTGAAAGGAGAGCTACGTGCTTGAACTTTTTTACATCTCCAGAAGAGGGTTCTGCTCTTTCTTAAGCATATGGTCTAGTTTATTGGGGACTAAATTAGTTGTTCCTGTGGAATGGCAATGGACACTGCAGGTTTACTTACCTCAGTCATCTGAAATTTGATTGATGCCATTTTCTGTCCTTTCAAATGTTACAAAGTACAGCAAAGTTTACTGAGATGTTCTTCATGGAGAACACGAGTGAAAACTGAAATCAAAAGACATCCAGGAAACCAAGCCCAAAGAAAATAGAAGACAAGGAGGCTAGCATTCATACTATGTCAATAAGTGGTGAAATCTGCAAAAGATTTTTTTTTAAAGGATTGGAAAGAAAAAACCCTTAATTTAATAGGTCTGAGAAGCTTTCATTTGGCCTTTTTATTTTGCTGCCTCAGTAAATCTGCAAAAACCCTCTTTCTGCATTCAGCTGTTTTTCCATTTGGCTGTTTGGCCTTCAGGGTGTTTGTGGCATAGCCCTGGCCTATATTATTCTGCATAGCATATCTAATATAAATTAGTGTAGGAAGAGCCAGTCAAAAGGCCTTCTATGTTGAAAAGTCGTGATCAAACCATGGAATATACAGTCTTGGAACTTTTCCTCTTAAATAAAAATGTTGTCTAATATTACTGTCCTGTGGACCTACTCTGTTCTGGTTCTAGATGTCTTGTCTATTTAATGGGGAACACAAGTATAAATAACACATTTCAAACTCCATACAGGTTTTTTTCTGGTTGTTTATTGTTTGTTTGTTTGTTTGTTTAACTAAAATTAAAGCTATTGCTTCCAAGTGTGGTTCTTTAGTTGAAGAACTAAATGGAAATTCTGTGTGAGCATCTAATCCAAGCCTTTAAGCTTCTCAATCTCAAGATGTATAATGTTCAGACCTACTTAGACTTTATAGAGGGGAAAACTTTGTAGAGCAGATGTGCATTAACAAGGTGGATTAACCATGACAGTACTGAACACTATTGCATGAGATCTTAGTAAAATTTTCTAGTCTTTCTAGTAAATACATCTGAGAACCCAGCTCTCCTGTTTGTTTTGTTCATTTGTTTCTAAAAAACATCTGATTTAGGGCACTGATTTGAGTACATTTGTAGGTTTAGCTTGGTCAAAACATTTTATCCTATCTGTGTATTTGACCAGTGCTGTAGGCTTTTGTCCCCACACACTTCTCAGCCATAACAGTACCAAGGCCATCAGTATCATCACCCCAAAATTCATGGCCTCTTCAGTTAAGATGCTAAACTTTGCACTGAAGTGACTGAAGCATGTAAACACACTTGGTTTCATAGCTCTGCTGTAATATCAGTAACATTGGACAGCATTAGCTATTTGCTAAATGAAAAAGCCTCAGTTGAAACATACAGCAATCAAACCTCCTGCTTAACTCATTAAACTTTGTATGCTGCCCATACTTGAAAATTTAGTATGCCTCTGCATTTTTAAACAGATCTTATATTTTTTAGTGAGTATACGGCTTGCTTGAATTTTATTACATAGTTCTAAGGATATTTTCAAAATTATTTTTACTTAAATCTGCTTTGATTCTGTTTATAAACACTTTTTTCAACTCTATTACAGCAATTCAAGAATTTGAGCAGGTTTCTGAAAGCTACTGAAATATCTTAAATGCTGTACTTTGAAAGCAGTAAGAATGAGCAATAGAAGGGTTAAAGTCCAGTATACTGCAAATCCGCAGTTGTAGTTTCACTTGAATACTGAAAATTCTTTTTCTTATATATTAAATTACTGTAATTTATAGGATATCACATTCAGTTTTATGAACTTTAAAATTCCTCTTCCAAGGGCCTTAACAGACCTACTCTCTTAAGAACTTTGTTGTATATTCTCTATGTATTGAGGCAGAATCAAAAAGAAGCCTAATAATTTACTACTAGTACTCTGTTAGGACCAAGAAAGGAAGCTACTTAAAAATGAAGATGTAAGTGGTAGCCAAAAGAAGAGAATGCTTACATGCAACAATAATCAAAGAGACCTTAGAAAGAGCTTCCGCCTACAGCCCCCAAGAAAAGAGGCCTAGGTGGTAAAAGAGGCAGCTATGAGAAGCTAAGACTGTGTCTTCTGAAAGGAAAATGTAGTGCCTATGTGAAAAAATAGGGAAGAATCTACATTTATGGAACATTAAATGTAAATACAAAATAAAGCACAGTTAATCTTCTGAAGAATAATCTACAAAGTTATAAAATTAAAGGTAATAGTATTTTTTTAATCCCATCAGAACCAGGAGACTTGCAAGAGGTCTGTAGTTCTGATAAGTGATCCCCAGTATTAGAAAATATTCAAGGTCAGTAAGAAAAGTGTAGTGATTCCTTCATACTCACTGAGGAAGATTACGGGGGAGTTTCCACACTTAAGCCTTTTAATTGGTGGTCAGATTAACTAAGAACCAAGATAAGTAACTTAAGTGTCAAGATAAGTAAAAACTTCAGAATTCTGAAGAAACATCAGAATGAAATTGCTGAACTATTTTAGGTTACAGTCCACTGTAAACTGTCCTGGTGCAGACAATACCAGAATGAGAAGGTGACAGTTGGACAACAGTACTTAGAAAGAGATTTGAAGGCCAGTCTGGGGAAAACTCACACGTAAATGTTTTGTGTGTGAGAAGGAAGGTTTTATTGTAGATAAATAACTGATCGAAGGACAAAAAGGACATTTTTTCTTAATGGACAAGATCATTAGAGGAATGTTACAGGAATTTGTAGTAGGTCTGTGAAGCTTGTCATGGCACCAGTGAGGATTTGAAGGTAGGGATTAATATGGTAGTTTGCAGCTGATACAAAAGTATTTGAGTTATTAAAATGTGATTTGGAAGAGCAGAAGTTACTGTAAGATAGAGTAACAGAGATGTCTGAATACTTTTGACTGCACAGGGCACAATCTTGATTTTACATACACGTCGTTGGGCTGCGAACCAGATATTACCATTCAGGAAACATCTTTTAAGCTGATACTCAGTGATAGACATATGGAGTGGGATTTCTAGGAATTATGCCATTGTATAAATGCCTGACATTTCACTCCATCTTAAAAAAAGAACATTGTAGAAAAGCGTCAGGAAGACAACAGGGCTAATTGAAGTACAAAATGGCATTAGTACAAGGAAGAGCTAGATTAGGACTGTTTGACCTGGAAGAGACAACCACTGGCACATGAGAGTTTTCTAAAATCAGGAGTTTCATAATAAATAGGGAATTATTCTTAATTGCTTGTCACAATACAAAAATCATGTGTCATCAAACTGAATTACTAGGTGACTGGTTCAAAACAGAAGGAGATACTTACTCCCAGAATCCGTAGTTTAATTTTAATTTTGTGAGTGGAGTTTATTAAATGCCACAGGTGTATATGGGTTCAAAGCCCTTTAGGCACATGCATGGAAAGAAAATATATATATCTTTGTGTTTTAGATACTGCCTCTCACTGAAGATGTCTTTGAGCAGCAGACTGCTGGAAATGGGGAGGGTAAACTAAGGATATCACTGTATGTTTGCCCTGTTGTACTCTGTCGTAAGCATCTGCTACTGACCAATGTCAGAAACAGGATACTGGGCAAGATGCTCTGTTGGTTTGACCCAGTGAGGACATTCTTGTGTACGGTACAACTTGTAACTCAGGCAAAAGGAATAGGTAGATGCAAATAAATGTTTAAGCGATCTGATGCCTGTAGAAATATATTGCTTAAATGGAAGTATAAAGTTACAATTGTCATTCGTTTGTAGTGACCTGAAATTATACCATATTCATGCAGTAAGGCTTTCAGATTTGTATTGTTAATATTTTCATTATTTATTTGTTTTGGCTTCTTTGATATCTAAGACATGATGTAAATAAGAAACATATCTGTTAAACTTAATGTTATTTCAGTGTACTTAGAAAATCTTGGAGGCTTTTCAAATTTCTGTTTAAAAGCAGGTTGTTTGGCAGTTAGAGAGCTGTATTTAAGATGACTGTTTTATGTATCTTAAGTTCAAGAATGCTTACAAGACAGCAAAATGCCTTTTGGGTTTGAGATTATATGGGTTTCCAATTATTTTACCAAATATGGCGGTCCTTCAGAATTATCACTTATTTAATTTAAAAGAACAGATTACTTTTGTTTAAAAATAACCATGTTTTGGCAACTTGCATGCCATTCTGGTGCGGTTGATACAATTAAAAATAGAATAGTATTGCTATACTTGGCAGCCAGTACCGTGGTAGTACAGCATAACTTAGTCATGCAAGATTAAAAATGTCTTACTCATACTTTTATATTCAATGTTTTTGTCATAGTGTAAACCTCATGAAGACCAAATTAGACCCAGAAGGACTGGGCATCATTTTACTGGGTCCCTTTCTGCAAGAATTTTTCCCTGAGCAGGTAATCAATATAGCTTTATTGCTGCAGAGCATTGTCTCTTCTGCTTGCCTTTGAGGTTCATTAAACACTCCCATCAATATCACAAAGCTATGTTTAATAATAAGTATTGCATTCATTTGACACACCTGACCAGCAGATAACTTCTTGTGTTACACAACAAACTGTAGGCTTCATAAGGTGTCTATGATTTTGTCAGCTTTACACTGGAAGGGAACTCCATTGTAGTGACAAGTTCTAAAATTGCCTTCAGAAAATATATAATTGTTTTGCATATGAAATTGAACTGGTTCAGTGTTCATTTGAGTTTGGTTTTTCTGAGAATAAGTGACCATACTGTTTTTATCAATATAACAAATGTCTGCTGTAATTGCTAGCAAATTAGGAAAGATTACAAATATAGTCTAAACTATTTTTATGTATGTGTCTATTATGGTAAAATTTCTGATAGTTTAACAAAAAGTCATGATAGAGATATGTTTAGCGTATGTGGAAGCCAGTATGCCAGGATAATGGAAAATCATTCTCAAACTCTCCATCTGTTGCACGTGCTCATTAAGATAGCACCGCCACTGAGCAGCATGTGTTAACCTCGCACTGCTGTCCTTTACTCCCTCTGCCCTGAGTCATGTTTTCCTGCTCTTCTGCTGCCTCCCTCCTGCCACTAGGAACCTCTTCATATAGATAAGTGGTAAACCAGAACAGAGATCTGGTCTGGATGGGAGCTCTCTCTGCAGGCTTTTGGATGCTTGTTCCATGGCCATACAATTACTTGTATTGGCAGAAGACAGAGGGTTTCCCCAGGGACAGGAAAATAGGCTAGTGGAGACAAGAGAAGGGCTAAGAGAAGTACTTATTTGGAGGCTTAACATGTCACTGAAAGTATATGGCTTAATTTTTACAACCAAGGAAATGTGAAACTAATATTTTTTAAATGTCTTCGGCAAGACTTTTTGCTAAGGGTTGTACACCACTGTTTGGGTGTAGTATTCTGTAATGCGGTCATTCAGAAGACACTGGAGCTGCACTGCCAAAGATGGTAGGAACTGAATTCATCAGTAAGAGATGATTCATCATCTAGAGGAAAATGAAGGAGTTACTGTTCATTTTCTGCAGATTTACAGAATTACATCTGCATTGTGTATTTGCCAACTGTTTCTTCTTTTCATTTTGTATATCCAGAACTGGAACTATCTTTACAGTTGAATACAATTTAATCTTACTTCTTACAATTACACTTGCAAATCTGGAAGACTCCACTGCTTAATTCTAGGCCCCAGTTGCTTAGAATGAAGTGCAGAAAACCAAAGCACATCCTCCATAATTGACTGTGCCTAAACTTTCCAGTACTGCAGGCCATAGGTAGCTGGAGGAGAAAAGAGCCATCATAGGGGCTGCTGCCTCTGTTGCCAATTGCTGAAGGACAGCTGGAGAAGGGAGAATAGTGGAGTCATGGGCAGATCCCCACCTCAGTCACCTGTAGAGTTGGTGGAGGAGCTCTTCACTTGCTGTAGAGTTAGAGCCCCCGAGTCAGTGCCTGTCCATCCAGTACTGTTTCCCTGCTGCATGTCATTACTCACCGCTCTGTTTTGCCTGTGCTGTTGAACCTTCACTGCTTGCAGTACAAAACATGGGAAGTTTTACTGCCTTAAGGGTACAGTCTGAACAGTCAGCACATTTTGGACTGGGACTTGTCAGTATCAGTTACTGAATTAATGCTGAGGTCACGGATATGTTGTCTAACTGTCTCTGCTCTGTGGGTCAGATAGCAGGAGACCTTTACCCACATTGACACCTCATTCAGAATTCTTTCTGAAAGTGAAATTCTGCAGAAATTAAGATGAATGTCTCTCTTTAAAATATTGTGAGGAAATAGCAGATGCCAGTGATGGTTGGAATTGTTGATGTTCACTTTTATACAATATTTGAGCATGTAGCTAGTGCTCAGGAGATCCAGGCTCAATTCCTTCTTTGCTGGGAATACTCAAAACATTCTTGCTCTCCTAGAAAGTACTAAACTCCACCTCAAAAGCAGGAAGGGATCTCAGCTTTCCTTTTCAAAGCTGTCAGCTTGGAAGAAAAATGTTCATTCAGCCTGACTCTTCAGTGCTTCAGGCAGCCAGGAGAGGGGAATTCCTGAATTCCCTGGTAACAGGGAAACAACTTTGGGGAAACAATTACTGCAAAAAAATTTTAACACCTATGGGACAGGAATTGGAAAGCAGTGCTTCTTTTCCTTCAGGGTGAGCGTACCTTCCTCAGGGAAAAGAGTAAGTGCCCTCTCCTTCCCAGCAGAGCTTGATTTTACTCATCTCTGTGAAGCAACTTCTGTAAAGTAGAGTTACCAGTTACCTTCCTTTTCACCGCGCTTCCTCCACTGAATAGCCTGGGTTGCTGTGAGAGACCTATACAGAGATAAGGTTTTGGAATCATTTAAGAGGAGAAAAATGAATGAGGGCTTTTTCTAATCTGGATGTACTGTAACCTGAGCTGATTTCTTCTCATTCCAGCCTTTATCTCCATGTCCTGAAAAAAAGGATAGGTTTTTGCTTGGAGCCTGGTCCAATAGGCATAAAAGAGATGATATTACACCTGATTTGTGTTTCCTGATTCAGTGAAATGCAAGCTTTTCAGTCCTTTTAGGACTAAAGCTTTTAAACACCTGGAATGAGGAAGGCTGACAAGTGCAGTACATCTGCTGTTGCTCGTCAGCTGAACAGGTGTCTTCACAATTAGTTTACAGTCAGGCAGGGATAGGTGTGCATTACTTTGTAGCCCTCAAATGGAGGGTGGAGATTGGATCTGGTCATCCAATCTCCATCCAAACAGTCATAAATAACACACAAATGTGGCTACTACGTAAGGTGTCTGACTTAAAAAATTAGGAGAGTTTCTACTTGGTCAATGCTGAAGTTGTAGATTAAAGTTTCCAGATGAACACAGAAAATCATTACTTGCTCTTAGGGGTGTTACCCATTAATTTACTGACATCTTTTTTTATATTTCTGATGAGAGAGGTAAAATGAGCAAAATCTTCAAGATAACGTCACCTAAGAAGAAATTTTGCTTTTTTACAGTTTCCTTAAATCTTTGGTTTAGATGCATCTGTGTAGTTGTAAAGAGAAGAGACTCCCAAGGCACAATGTATATTTAACATGAAATTAACTCTCTTCTTTTTACTAGGACTCTAGGGTTTCAGAGTCATTCACTGTTTACCATTACAATGGACTGAAGCAATCTAACTATAATGAAAAGGTAAGATTCAAGAAACTTAAATCTAGCCCTAATAACAATTACTATGCAAAACTGACTGTAGTTACAGGCAAAATACTCTAACTTGAAACAGACTTCTTAGAAAACTGTTATTTTGTTAATTTTCTTCCAAAATTATATATTTGGAACTGGGAACTGCTTTGTGCTCCTGATCATGTTTTAGCTAGTGCAGTGTACTGATTGGCTAGACCGCATCTCTTAAGAGATGCGTTTTGGATGGAGCATTTCTCATGCTTACCCATAAGAAATGGGATCAGAACTGTACAGGACAGTGGAGGTGTAACACCAACAAACTGCAGCTTCTCTAAGTAACCCTATATCTAAATTGAGATGTTTGGAATTTTTTTGTGAAATATTTTAGTGCTCCAGACTTGCATCAAAAATCAATGTTTTTGGAACCACGCAGTGGGGTCAAAAATGACCTGTGCCCTTTTCAGCTTTCTTGAAAGGAGTGGTATACATAACACACCATGACTACTTCTAAGTTCCTGAATGGGCTTTTAGGGTAGAAGAGTATAAGGCATTAATAGACATAGGGATCAAAAATGGCTTCAAGTAAGAAGACTCTTCGAGAAAATATATGTACTCAGTCTTTGTAATAGCTTGGACTTTAATCCTTAAAATTACCCCTGTGAAAGCTGCAGCAGTTTCATACCCCAAAATGTTGACCAAAGCATTCAAAGATGCGTTTCACTACTATTGAAAATTTAAATAAAATTTGGTTTTCAAATGCTTTATAGCATTTTATTTATAGCATTTTTAATATTTTAAATATTTTTTATTAATAGAGCTGATTTGCAGCAGAAAATTCAATTTTATGGAAAATTAATTCCATAAAGTTAATTCCAAGGAACACACTCCTTATGAAATAACAATAGTAAACTTTGCAACTGCAGCAGTAGTAGAAGATCTGTTGTCACAGAATTTTTGCAATGCATGTCCTAGATTATTTTTTCTCTAGTTTTGGCTTTTACTGTCTATTGGACAGTCAAATGAATATGGCCTGATCATGATTTTCAGGCACTTGAGTCTAAGAGATTTTCTGATTTCTTACCTCATTTTAGTTTTAAAAATAAAGTATATAAATCTTAATTGATTTGATTTTTGTAGTAAAAAAAAAAATCACATCAAATCCTCTCCTAACCCAGTGAAAATACTCATCTCACCTTAGAGTTTTTAAACAAGCATAGGCTGATAGCATGGGTTTTGTTTTGACAGGTCATGTATGTTGAAGGCACAGCAGTTGTTATGGGTTTTGAGGAACCAATGCTACAGACCGACGATACTCCTGTGAAACGCTGCTTGCAAACCAAATGGCCATACATAGAATTACTCTGGACCACAGATCGATCTCCTTCTTTAAACTGATGTGTTGCGCATAACACCATCCTGCTATCGAACGCTTGAATGGGGATACAGGAATTGGCATTTGCTTGGAAAGTGGCATCCTTTGACTGCGTGAGGTTATACACTGGTATCATTGACGAATTGTAAATAATGATTACAAACACTTTTTCAGTGTTAATTGGAATATTTAATTTTTTAATCAGATTGATTTCTATTATAATAGTTTGTCTTTTTTGGCCACTGTAGTACTGTTAATGTGGGTTACCGAAAGAAAAAAAAAAAGCCTACTTATAAAGTCTTAACATTATTTTACCATCTCATGAAGATTTGAAAAATGTCTGATATTGCAGAATCTGCGTATTAGATGTCAGATCTTTAAAACATAAAACATATTCAGCTCCCCCTGAATCATATAGGCATGTTTTATTATTTTAATTATATTGGCTTACATTACAGTACCATAATGTGTGGACTAAACTGGCCTTTGCACTGGATATGTTTTAATGAGTTTAAATTTTATGCAATTTTTCCTAAAATCTAATTCTACCAAAAGAGCTTGCACAACGTGACATAAATAGGATACATTATTAGGAATAAGTATATTTCATAAATACTCTTTCTTGGCAGTTGTATATTACTGTGGCTTAGTTATCAAGCTTGTTAAAAATGAACAGAAAATCTGAAGAAAAATAGATGTATTAATATTTATTTGAATTTGTATAAAAGAAATGTAAAAACAGCAGAATTAATTTCCTGTTCTATAATCTTTAAACTATTCAAACTTATAATATTGCCAAATACCTCTTCTCAATTTCTCCGAACAGCAGTGTAAGCCAGCGTTATTGTATGTGTGAAGTGCATGAGAACATCTGTTATTACATTATTATATTCCTTTATTTATTATCAACTTGTTAGCCCTAAAATAAAATCTTTTCCTTGAATCTTGATGTATTGGTTTAAGTTTGGTTTTAATCAGACTTGTTTGCTGCCTCTATAAGATGATGAAAAGGGACCATTGGTTTAGAAATGTCAGCTTTCAAGTTGAACACATCTCAGAAAAACAAAAATAACAGAAGATAATTTATTGCATCTTAACTGTGATTGTAGAGCATATGCTATTGCCAGCAGGGCTGAATTTTGCATTCAGAATTATTACTTAAAATTTATTTTCATGTGTAAATAACTATGACTTCAGAATGGTCATCGTGCAGGAAAACAAACTGATTTGGTCGAAAATGAGGTGTGAAGTGTGGGTGAGAAACCCTCGCTAGAGAATTGGTACTGTAAAGCCTGTAGTAGTGGTAGAAGGCGAACATCCTTTGCATGACACTTGCAGGTACGTCCTCTGCGAGGTTGTACAATGTATGTTGGATTTACATCTGGAAATGGGTGACCAGTACAGTTCTGCGGTGGGTTGGCACTGACTGGCTGCCAGGTGCCTACCCAGCTGTGCTCTCACTCCCTCACCTTAGCAAGACCTTATCTCCTCGTCAAGACAAGGACAGGGAGGTCACTCACCAACTGTCATCACGGGCAAAACAGACTCTAAATTTAATTTATGGACAATTAAAAATAGAGATAGTGGGAAACAAAAGCAAAAATAAAACCAGCTTCTCCCCCACTCCCCCTTCTTCCCAGGTTCAGCTTCAATCCCAACTCCTCTACATCCTTTCCTCTGAGCAGGAAAGAGGGATGAGCAATGGGAGTTGTGGTCTGTTCATAACACTTCATCTCTGCCACTTCCTCCTCATGCCGTTCCCCTGCTCCAGTGTGGGGTCCCAGCCACAGGAGAGTCCTTCACAAGCTGCTCCAACATGAGGCTTTCCCATGAGTTGCAGTTCTTCAGGAATGAACAGCTTCAGCGTGGGTCCCCCACAGGCTGCAAGCCCTGCCAGAAAACTTGCTCCAGTGTGGGTTCCTCTCCACAGGCCACAGCTCGTGTCAGGAGCCTGCTCTAGCGTGGGCTCTCCATCAGCTTCAGGGTACAGCCACCTGCTTCAGTGTGGGCTCCTCCACAGGCTGCAGGTGGATATCTGCTCCATCGTGGTCCTCCATGGCCTGAAGGAGGACAACCAGCTTCACTCTGCTCTTCACCATGGGCTGCAGGGGAATCTGCTCCAGTGTCCGGAGCACCTCATCTCCCAGCTTAACTGTCCTTGGTGTTTGCAGGGCTGTGTCTCTTGCTTTTTCTCACTCTCTCCCAGCCACCACACAGCATTTTTTACCCTTTCTTAAATATATTGTTACGGAGACACCACTGGCTTTGCTAACAGGCTCATCTTTGGTCAGTGGTGGGTCCATCATGGAGCTGGAATTGGCTCTGCACAGTATAAGGACAGCTCCTTGTGACGACTGCTCACAGAGGCCACTGCTGCAGCCCCACTGTCCCCCTGATAGTTCATTCAGGACTTGTTGAAAACCTCATTTCTGAAATTACCATTACCATTCCTTATTGCAGAACTGTCATCAGTGTATTTTATTCGTATTTCTGAAAAAAACAATTCTTTGCAGAAGAATTTGAAAAATTTGAAAAGATTCCTTAATTCATCTTACCTGACTCACTTTACTTACAACACAAGTATTCTGTCTTGCTGTGCAAGACTGATGCTGACAGACTTGTGCTACTCAAAAATATATAGATAATTAATTAAGAGAATGTGCTTTAATCTGGATTGCCCGTCAAGTATGAAACTGTTTTTTGTAAAATACTCAGGCTTGACGGGCTTTAGCTGGTTTGGCACATTGAGGATACGCATCTTTAGGCAGATTTGCACTGACTTCTTGGAAGATGACAGTGCTTTTCTTGCTCTTCCTCCTGGATTCTGGTGTCTGTCTTGGCTTGTACCAGAGTATCTCACAACAGAGCTTGTGCTGAATCATAGCTTGAATCTGTTCAAATAAACAGCCGCCTTCTAGCCCACTGTCAGATACAATTTATGTTCTATCTCACACAAAAAAAACCCCAACAAATAGACGCCCATCTGATGCAAAATCTAAATACAAGCATTAGTCTGGATTAAAACTTCCTCTGTACTCCAGCAGAATTCAGCCGATGCTCAGTGTGGTATAAGAACCCTTATTCCTGTATCTTTCTTTTTCCTTCGTACTGCCCAGTTGTTTGAGGCCTGGCTTCTGGTTTTCTTCTCAAATTTTTGGACTGCAGAGGCTAACAGTGCTTAATGGAACTGAGCCAGCTCATCTGGGAGCCTCAGCCAAGTGAACCCTCTGTCCTTTCCTACCAGATGGACAAGATGGGAGAGATTCAGACTTCATGGAAATTCACCTTTTGTCCCCTAAAAGAGTGGTTATTTAGAAGGCAGACTTAAAATACATGAGGTGTTACTGTCTGGTGCTTTTGATTTGCTTCCATAGAAAAATGACCAGAAAACTATAATTTTTGGAGCTTGTTCTGCTTGAAGTGCAAAATACATGGGCTACATATGTGTATGTATGTGTGTGTATGTACATATATATATATATATGTGTGTGTATATGTTGCAGTTTGCAAATTGAGGCTTAGCCAGTAAGTAATACCAGAGCACTTTACAGGATTAAATACATGCTGTAACTAACCAGAGCAAATTGATAATGCTAACTGTAAGAAAGTACATGAACTAAATATGCAATGAAATGATATTTTGATTAATACTCTAGGTGAGTGATTTTTTTATGTATTGCACAGTGGTTCAGTTTTAATTGCCAAAGAAAGGCCAGTATGTTCTGGGAGACAACTAATGTCCTAGCTGGCAACATGGTCCTGCCAATAGGTCACAGGACAGTGGGTCCAGAAAACTGAGTCCTCCCTCCCATGTCTCAAACATAACAGAGCAGAAAAAGAGGTCCTGGGGTCAACTGCTGGTTGAGTGGTAAATAGAAATTATTTCTATTTCAATGTATACTGAAGTTTGGAATGAGATACTCTAAATAATTTACCTGAAATAAATAATGGAAAGACTACTTCCCATAGTCACATTAGCCCAGGTGAGTTATATTTGAAGGCTTAAGGCTAACAAATATATTTTTTTGCTTTGTCAAAGCCTGAGCTGTTCAAGGTAAGCAGCTGGTGTAAATCCAAATATAAATATCCCTTTTATAATCCAGATTAAGACCCCTTTAAAACAGTGAATCACTTAAGTACTTTCAGGGAACTTTGCTTTTGAATACTTCTGTTGAAGTTGTTGGCTTTATCTTTCAGGCAGTTATGATTTCTGCTTATCTGATCCATCGGTATGCTTTTTTATTCTCTCTTCTCTTTGTGAGGACTAATTGAGGGCAAAGGAGTCCAAGGTGGGCCTGGATGGAGCAAGTAGGTGGCATGGGAGTAAAATCCATTAGGGCAGTGAAATGGCTGTGTCCACACGACACTTCATGAGCAGGAGGAACAAGAGCTTCCATTAGTGCAATGCATATCGTAGTGCTTTTAGATTGTCTGTAGACACCTTGTGGACAGTTACTGCGTGCTCTTGATTGCACACGAAGCTGCCTAGCGTACAGCATCAGGTGTGCCCTGGAGAGCACCTCTGGACTGCTGCTGTGGGGTTGCTGAGTACCGAGCTGTGTCTGCTGACCGCAACAGCCTGGGAGGTGCAGCATAAACACAGAGTGCATTCAGAGCTCCCCCTGCAATGTCCTGGCTATCCCATCCTTTGGGGTCTCATGCACTAAGCAGCCAATCTGTGCTTTCACTCAGAAGGTAGATTGGCTCATTAGATTGTGGTTTACATTGGTTTCATGTGATTAAACTAGTTAATACATGTAAATGAAAAACAAAAATAGTATTTCCATGAGATCTCTTGAAAAGAAACATTTTTTTACCACAGGCTATAAGTTTAGGTTGCTAGAAGACTTAGTCTGCTCACTCAAATTAACTTTAATGCTTTTCATGTATGAATTACTTCTGCTAATATTTTAACTTGGACAGCGTTCACAGAGGTAAGGTTCAAAACCGAAAGCTGACCTGCCTTTGCTGACATGTCATCCTGAATTCGGACCCCACCAACTAGTGTCTGAGGGAAGAGGAGACAAGGTCTTGTAAAGTAATTTGAATTGATGTGGAATACTCTACACTCATTTCTCTCTTTTTTACGTGGAGGGGGAAAAAGAGGAAAAGGCTAAGTGAAGGGGGACTGTTGTTTGTTAACACCTTGGGGGTAAGAGGATCTTGAAAGGGATTTCCTTTTTTTCATACTGCCCTGCTCTCCTACAGGTTTCAGCACTGATAGCCATTTGAAGCACTTTTTTCCTTTTTTAAATTTAGTTCAGAGCAACCGGGTGAGGTGGCATGTATTTCAAACTGAAAGACAGGTACAAGGAGAGCACATGAGAAATGCCTATGTTCTTGCTATCCCCCTTCTGCTTTTCATCTGTGTGAACACTCACCTATCTCCAGCTGTGCTAATTACTGAATTTTAACTCTGTTTTGGATAGATCTGTACAGGACAGATACAGCACCAGGATGTGCTGCTTTCTCACTCACTCCTGGAGTGCCACAGGTCTGATGTGCCATCTGAGCAGTGCTTTGAGCTCCAGCGACTTCCCTTAGGATGCTCAGCAGTGGAACTGACTGTTGTCATGCTAAATAAGAGCAAGGCATTAATATTATTACTTAGCATAAGGCAACACAAGTTTCAAATGCCCTCAGTTGCCTTAAAACTGTATGACTTCTAAGAGAAGGCATTAGCCCTACAAGGCATTGAGGGTACTTCTGAATTTATTGCTATTGCTTAGATCTCTAAAAGATACTTGTTCAGTGTAAAAATAACGAAATAATGTCAATTAGAGCGATGTCTCACTCTAATAGCAAGAGTAAAGTCAGTACAATTGTAAGGCGAGCAGATTTAAGGAATAGTACAAGCCTGTGGGGACAGCTAAGGGTCACACAGTTAATGCTGGAAATAAACACACGGTTCTATTTTTGTGAACAGGAATGTCAGTCTTATCTGA